GCAGTGACCATGAGGCAGAATTTTTAGGGTGAACTTTGGTTATATGTTTGTTACTTCTTTATAACATTCTTGTTTTATCGTGCAAATGTCTAAAAGTGTGGCTCTTTCTATCGTAATGGATCAACTAACAGCACTGGCTTTGTTCGTCATCACTTAATTCAGTTTTACTTATGAGTCACTGGTGAAAGAGAATTATTTTCTTCCCTTCCTTCCAACACACACAAATCACTTCTAGCAAATATTTTATTTTGGTCACTTGGATTAAAAATTCGTGTAGAATACAAACCATAATTTTGAAAACATTCACTCAAGTCACTCAAAGCAGAGCGTGAGAAAACTCTTGCAGCACTGTTTGTTCGAGAACACCACGCCTCGCGTGTCCAGAACATACGAGAGGTGCCATCTACGCATCTTAATTTCGGACTTTAACCGTTGGTACTTTTGCTTTAAACTAATCCTTTTATCACAGAGACATGAATAAAATTTCATTAACTCGTTTTGTCGCTGTAGGGCAAAAAATAGAGATGAAATTTGAAGAAACAACTAATAAAAATAATGTGAATCTCTTTCTAAAGGACAGTAAATGTCTACAAATATAGTTCATTGCTCATTTCAACCGACGATATATGAATGTTTTGAATACGTATTCGTCAAAAATTATCCATGAATGTACCTCTGATTACGTATGTTCCTTCCGACTTGGCGTCACTGGGCGTTCACAGCTTGTCCCACTCGTACAAGCGCCTCTCTGAGCGGTCGCCGAGCTCCCGCGCGGCGGAGCGTTGGGGCGCGACCGCCGTCTCCCGGACCGCCCCGACGGCTCCGCCCCGCGCAGGCCGAAACCGCGCGCCGGCGGCCGCGCGGCGTATATTTAGCCAGGCCAAAGACATTCTTCTGGCGGAGGACACTCCGGGGCGGCGACGCAGCGCGGCGGCCCGGAGGGCGGGGGGCGACCACCGCCCGCGCGGCCTTTGCTCGTCAGCAACACTTCCCAGTCGATCCATTTTATTGAAAGGGAATTCTTACATTCAAATAAATGTCAGTTAAACTGAGAGTTCCAAAGATGGCGCCTTTCGGTGCAGCCAGGAATATTAAACTTTTAAATGATAACAGAAACGATGCACTCAAAATACCACGCGGGAATGTATTCAACAATTCAAAAGCATGGCATCATTTACATCAATATCCATAACCTAGGCTGTAGGCAACCAGAGCATTCGGGGTGTACGCGTATAGGCACTCCTATCGACAGGCAAACACAACTATCCACCCTTCATCATTGCATTGCATCCCTGTTTGCAGCCACGTTCGCTCACAATCCAGCCAATTACTTAACCTTAGTTTCGTTTCCATTTGTAGCAGTGTAACCAGCAGGAACAGCCAAGGGAGTCCTATAGGGTAACTTTTATAGTTTAATTCTGAAACGGCTATTCTGTACTATTCTAATTTTGGATGTGCTTTATTCAAGCTTGCAAATAATATTTTTGAACGAAACAGTAGCACACAAAATAACTTCGTATCTTGTTTTAAATTAAATACATGCGGTTGCCCGGTTAACCGAAGAAATAATCTCAGTACCTGTTCTAGGTTAAGTCTAAAAATGTTTTATACTTTTATAGAAAGAACTACGACTTGCAATTATATTCCTGAAACTTAGATTACTAGTAATACAAAATGCGTTGGCGTGATTTTGAGAAGAAGGGTTGTAAATTACGTTTTCGTAAAAAGTTTGCTCACCGTCAACACTAACGGTGAAAGTGATGGAGCACCTCTTGAGGAAGACGCCGCTCCGAGTGATGGAGCGCGTTGGGGCGGGGCGGGGCGAGGGCAGTTCAATATGCGCGGCGGGCGAAGGCGGCGCCCGGGCCCGTTCCCGTCTGCTGCCCGGCCGCTCCTCGCGCCCCGCGCCCCAAGCCCCGCCCTGCGCCCTACGCCCCGCGCCCTCGCGCCACACACCCGTTCCGCCCCGCTGCCTCGCACCAGGACTCTGCCGCCCGAGGAGGTTAGGAGTTCTTACGCCGACAACCGTTGCCACACCAGGAGGCCCTGCGATTCGAGTCCCGATGCTGGCAGGATTTCCGACACTAACCGTACAGATACGAGTAGCTAAGTCGAATTAGGCCGCTGTCTGGAGGAGATTTCTCAGCAAGGCTGCTCTGATTGGTACTTTTCCGTTTTTTTTTTTTTTTTTTTTTTTTTTTTTTTTTTTTTTTTTTTTTTTTTTTTTAATCAACACAAGGCGATTGCCGAAGGAGTACCAAATAAACTGGCCATGGACCACGCGTGATCTCTCCCGCCTCTCTTTGTCCTGTCCCAGAGGTTTTCAAACTTTTTTCATCCACGGCTCCATTGACCTAAGCGAAACTTCCCGCGACACCCCTGGTAACAATACGTTTTAAATATAAGGGTTAATACAGGCAACAAAAAGTTTAAGGCTCCACAAATGAGTTAGTGATATAACAGGCTATTGGTAAAGCCAGGTTCAATTAATTTGCAATTAATTAGTAAAATAAATAATATATATTACAAATAACATATAGTATGATAGCACAAAATTATTTTGTAAACATAAATGTCATAATAATTGAAGAAAACGAAGTTTAAAGATCCTATGTTATAAATCACTGCCACATGGCCCCAACGAACCGCTTGAAAACTCCTGTCCTATCCTCTTCTATTACTCTCACACACACCCGGGAGACCAATCGGAAACTTCAAACTTATTCTGTGTGGGGTGGTACTACGCTGGCGGAGATGCCTCGAGGGAGTACCGCAAGCCGACGCAGAGGCTGTGCCGGATCTCACGTTCCAGCGGGAGCGGAACAGCGCGATCTCTGCAGATATGATATACATTACACTTAGCGGCTAATGGCCATATCAGTTGACGCACCCGAATCACGAAATATTTATTCACGAAACGTGAATTCTATTAATTTAATTTATTATTAAAATTTACTGTTTTTACTACGGAACTAGTGAATGCAAAAGATAACACATCTAGAGCCCACTTCCTTTCATTTCAAGAAAAAATTACGAAATTTGTTAGAATAGGAAGTTTATCTTTCTAAACGAAAACTCTCGGAGGTTAAAACATGAAGACATTGAAATAAATCAGGGCTGAATCGGTTAATAATAATAGCTTAGCACCGTGAACTTTCTACTTGCAATGACCTCCAATAATGACTGGACGTCAAGGAGAAATAGGATAATAAAGAGAAAAAGAAGAAAGTGAACGTAAGAAAAGCCGAAAGAAGAAAAAAGGGAAAAAAGAGGAAAAAGAGAGAAGAGGAAGAAGAAGAAGGATAATAATAATAATAATAATAATAATAATAATGATAATAATAATTGAATAATAAAGTGTGTGGCGATGATATCATGATTAATTTCCCAGCACCTCTGTGCCAATCTCCTTCTAAAATGTCATGCGTTCACAATGACGATTCTTTCTGTCAAGATTTACGCTCTTAAGGGCCGCATTCATAGTCTACCTTTATTTTCGAGGAACACTTTAAGTGTGTACTTATTCGCATTTTCAATCCATAGACGTAAATGCTTAAGCATGTACTTATTCTTACAAGTGAGTTTATCTATACCCTTATTTTTCAAATTGGAATATCATCAAAGATTTTAATGAGTTTTTTGGAATTATTGAAATCAATATCGAAGGAAGATCGTATACCAAAACGATATTAGAGAGACAAGAAAATCCTTTGGAAATGCATAGGCAACAAAAATTTAAGAAGTGAGATAGTTTTGACCAGGATACGGTTGTAAACTTTAGTGCCTCTGTTTCTAACTCACAACGTGGGCATGGAGAATAGAGGATAACCATTACCATCTGTCCTAAAAATGCTAATGGCACACATATTTTATGCAACATCTTTATTTTAGTTACGTAATTTTTTGATTTAAATTGCAGACCACCGTGGCGTATTTTCTAGGTTAGCCTATGAGAACCATGTTTTATAGGTCAATCATCTTAGTATGAGCATCATCTTACAATGATGATCACAATGCATCATATGAAAAAGTGTTTTTATTTCATTATTTTTTCAGTTGGTATGTCTATAAAATAAGTCAGTCTTCAGTTTGTAGAATTATTACAGATATATCTGAATTGTTATCATTAAATATTAAAAAGTTCATAAAATCCCCTTCATGTGTTGTAGTACAAATATCGCACGCCAATAATTATACTTACTATTCAAGCAAAATCAAAAAAATTCTACCAATAGCAATTATCCGCACAGGACTTCATGCATCGGAGCAACAAAACGAAATTTATATTTATTTTTTGTTGATAGTCTGTCGATGAAACAAGATGCTATTCATACGCTTAAAAGAACCGCCAAAATTATAAACAAGATTGTCACAGTCTTCTCGATTCGTATCTGTTACCAAGAAAGCAATGTTGTCAAATATTATGTTGCGAAATATTGCCTGCGTGTGACTCTCGAATAAGTGGGGTCCATGAATACGAAACTGTCATAAGGGTTCACTTAGTAAGTAAAGTTTATAGGATAATTAAGGTTTATACGATAAGTGAAGTAAATGCTTATTACTTCACTTATCGTATAAGTGTCGACTATAAATTCGGCCCTAATGTGCTGTCTTACCCCACTTATCCTGAAATAGCGGCCAGCCATATGAGTCAAGTGAGCTTGTATGCGTACCTCGTTAGGGTACAAACGTATTTTTGGAACAGCCTAGCTTTCAAACCCCAGCCTCTTACCCCAGGGTTCATTGAAGAAAACTCCTTCCCATAACTTTATATATCTATAGTCAGTTGTCGATGGCAATTTTAAGGTCCACGCAGCTTGAAGGTACCAGACATACCTAATATCCAGGCACTTGAATAATCTTCATTCATCGTCTTGATTTCCAATACAATTTAGATGCAGAGCACAGAAGTGTTGAAATGTAACTAACACTTACGCTTTAATAAGAGACTTCCTTTGCTACGATGCTTGTCAATCGAACCGGTGACATCTATACCCAGAATGCACCGTGTACCAACAAGTCAAGATCCAAATTCAGCTGCGGAAATTATCGGGTAGGGATCAAGCATACGTATGCAGATCCCACTTCATATCCCACCAACAAATTTTACTGTTCGTAAAATACATAGTATTCGTGTACATACGATATACCTGCCCAGAGAATTTTTTTGACAAAGAAAAATATATGATCATCACAGCATTCTGAAGAAGATTCCCAAACAGGATACAAAACTTTTCGAAAAGACCGTAATTGTGTATTAATGTTGTATGAAATGTAAATGGTAACGTATTAATTTTTTTTTTGCAACATCCACATCGCAAAGTAGCAGTGCCTCTCCGCCGTTGCCGCCGTTGCCGGCCGTGGGTGGTGCGGCGGAGCGGGGCGCGCGTTGACCGGAGGGGGCGGCGGCGTGTGTTGCAGGCGCAGCGCGGGCGCGGTGCCAGACCTGGGTGTGCAGCTCGACGTGTTCGACGAGCAGCGGGAGAGCGACGAGGCGCAGACTCTGCGGGGCCCGCACGGCGTCGACCTCAACTCGCACCTCGACGTCTTCTACGCCATCCTCCGCCAGGTGCGCCCCGCCCGCACGGCCAACTTCCCCCCTCGCTTTGCTTTCCTTGCCCCCCCCAATCCAGACGAGGATGTACAAGCGCAAGCTGGAGCGGGGGGAGGGGGTAAGCGCGCTCGAAATATTACGACGAATGGTGCTTCCTACGAAAATGTTTTCTGTCACACAATCGAAATTTGAAATTTTTGTTTATGTACTTCACCTCTTATTACTTTATTTCACGTTTATTTTCTTTTTAAATTCTGCCTTTTATAAACATTTTTTCCGATGGTTAGGAATATGTTCGACTGGCCAAGTATGTGTCTATTTTCGTTTTGAGTTATATTTAATTAAATCATCCTGCCATGATGTGTGTGTACCTATTAAATGAAAAAAATCACAAGTCCTTCTAATAAGCGAACAGCTCTTTTAACATAGAATAATTTATGTCAAATAAAATTCCTAACCTGTACGCAATAAGTTATTGCGAATATTGCACTCTTAAGTAAACAAGCTTTAAATGTGACTTTATTTCATTTTATTGAATCGTTTATTTGTTTTAGTGAGTTAATATGAGAGTTAATATCGTTTTGGGGGCAGTGGCTGTCTACTGCCTTCTCTAAAAATTTCAAAAATTGATGTAGGGCAGGTATCCAGTGACCACCCCACTCAGCATTTTTGTACAACCTTTAATATTTTAATCCGCGCCATTTGCTTTGGACGCATTGCCCGCGAACTCTAAAAAAAGCATTGCCTGCGTCATTGACATGTAAATATATAACATATTTCGTATCATAAATATATTGGTAATTGTCAATGGTGCACCGAAATGAGGAGGGTCGTAGGGCTTCAGCCCTTTCATAAGCATATGCAAACATATTCAAATGTTTAGTTTTAATTATTTTATACAGTTAACGAAAGGCAAGCGTCTCAATATATTTTGTTATGAATAAGTAGAAGTCAAGGCGTGAAAATACATTTTAAATTCATCATAAATGAAACATTTCTTGTAAGTTAACCAAGGTGGTTGGCCTGAGTGTAGTACCTCCTTTTAAAAAAATCCCTTTTGCGTCAGTGGAGATTGTGCAGGGTGATTGTGTAAACCAAATTATGACGTTTGCCAATGTAGAGAGGATGCCGTACAAGAGGCCAATGCCTAAGACAACATGTCCTGATCCAGACGTTCTCTGAATATTAGGGATACTTTTCTTTTAGTTATTCAGATATGAATAAAATGGTCCCTTATTCTGTAATTTGACAATTTTGGGGAAAAATTTTCACATTTTCTGTAAATGCCTGATATAATTAATTCTCGTCATTAAATTTATTTTCGCAACATTAAGGCGTTTTTCCTCGCAAATATAACTTTGTGCGCTTTTGAAAACGTTTTTCGTCGAGTAGTATGTTACAAATTGCAATCTACAATTAATGGATTATTCCTTTCGCCATACATCGATCGAGTGATTTCGAAGTTTGACGAACGCTGTGATTAGTTTGCGATGCGCACCGTGTGTTATACTCGTGTGGTACAGCGCATAGGATCAATGTAGATGGCGAGAGAATCAACTGAAGCAGTGAAAGGAAAGTGATACATTTATTAATGTGATACATGTATACTCATTACATCCTACTGACATTAATATTCCCTTGTATTTTGATTTAGTTAGACTAAATTATCTGTATCTTAGCCATAGTTAATCATAAAAGATTTGGAACAAAATGCTAAAAATTGCCTTCGTTGTGTCAGAAATGTTTGGGCTTTGTGTAAGAAGAACGCATTTAGTCTTGATACTCGGGATTAAAGCCCGGATCTAAATGGTACGTTCAAATACCCCTCTGAATTAACATATAAGGTCTAGAATGCACCGTGCCAAAATGGATAGAGCCCAAAGTCAAGAAAAAGTGCTTGACTAGATTGTACACTACAATTTTCAAAAATAGTATGTATGTTTGCAGTACATACCATTGAAAAGTATTATTTCTTTACATTGAAACACAATGTTTTTCGTTTTAAAACTCACATTTTAGATCAATAAACGAATTGTAAAATGTTAATAACTTACTATTAAATTATTATGACTTTTAAGTACTTACCCAGAAATAAAATATGTCTCTACTCTGCTGAAGTCCAACAACATACACTTGAAAATTAAGCATTAAATATTTTAAGGTTTAGAACAGTTGTCACAAAACACTATCGTACACTGCCCCCTTCTATTTGTAAAATAGTTCAGGAGGCTTTAGCGAGTCTTTTATGAAATACTTCAATGCGAAACATTATTCACAGTTGAATTAATAATCTTTCGAATTTAATAATATTACGGAGATTCCCACTATATTCGATAAGTTTGTTATAAAATAGTGTTTCCAAACTATTTTATTATTTAGTAGAATATCCTTCCCTGTCTTTCATATTCTGTGCGTTTCAAATTTGAAAATAAAATACATTTACATTTAGGACTTGACATCAGCATTACATTTAATACGTGACATTGCCGCGCAATTTATTTTTGTACCCATTTTTGCTGGTTCCCACGCAGCTAGAAAGAAATCGAATGTTTAGTTGCTCCTAAAACTACAAACTAGCTTTTTTAATGTAATTCCCTCCCACAGTCAATCTTGGACGTTCTTAAACACCTTTCGTAGAATTGATTGGAAACATACGAATGGTACTTCTTCGAAGCCCTTTCCCTGTGTGAAATAAATATTTTTCTTCAAATATACTAGCATTCATTATTGTTTTTACACCTAGGTAACAGTTAAACGTGGATACAACAATCATATAATCAGTGTTCATAAACTTGTGTGGATTTGAGTCATTTTTAATCATTGTGCTGTATATTGGTTTAAAGTCCGAACGTGTGTTTCCCCTGTATTTTACAGTAAGTAATTCCACTAATTCCAAAATTTCAGTGTTTAAAAAAAAACACAGAGTAATCGTACGAAATCATTGGTTTTTTAGGGTGTTATGTTGAACCATTCTTCTAATTTTTTTTCCTGTTTGCAATAGTTTGTGAGCTAGTTGTGAGAAAACTTATGCTGGATGAGGATCTTTGAAGCAGTTATATTGTTAAGCAATAAAACTTAGATATTTGCATTGCAAATTTTATTTAATTAAAGAAATTTATTTTTGAAATATTGGGATATTTTCTTGTTCGCTTTGATAATAGACGCACTTTATATTGCCACTAAGCCTACCTCGGGCACTGAACTAACTGCACCATTCTTATGATTTATCGCACTATTATCGCGAGAAAAGAAAAATTAAGCACAAATTTAGAGCTGTTTTGACAAAATATGTTTTTTTACATTGCCAAATCGCGAAAACTTTCAAGAAAACCACTCATATTTTCAAAACATTTAAAAATAAATTTTTGAAGAACAGGAGAGGAGTAAAGAGATAACTTCAACATTGTAATTGTAGTAAGACGCTAAAAATGTTAACTTATGCAATTTTTGAAAAGTCGGAGAGCAACGAATTCGGACCTGCACACAGAACTATTTTCCACTGGAACTTACGATCGGCGGCGCGTGTATTCAAACAGCTAGGAAACAAAATTTCCTCCATTTCTCCCCCTTTTACTGTATTCATTTATATATTGTCTTCATAACAGATGAAATTCATATATTATTCATTCCGTACTAATTGACGATAAAAGCAACTTTTTATCTCACTTTTACGTGGCACCGAACACAGAATTTGTTCTGAGAACGATATTAAATACCACCTACAAATTATGACCATTTTAAAGAATTGTGCGAAAAAGTGCACAATTTCCCTCGTTTACTCTAATAAGATTCATCTTCTTTAAATTTTGTGTATTCACAAAAAGTGCACGGAATTACGAGATTCTCCTCATATTTTATGTGTTCAAGTTCTTTGTAGTTAGTACAAAAATCCCTTCTAGAGAAGGAAATCGAAGATATTGCAAACAGTTAATCAAAGTGAGAATTTCACGTGTGGATATATGGTAGCTCACACAAAACACACACAAAAATACATACCCGAATCTTTCCATCGATTTTCAGAACAAAGGAACACAATATTTTATCAGGAAAGTCCACAGGTAAAAATGTGTGCTCTGACAACACTTAACAAGCTAGGTCCACTGTAATACCTCCGTCGTTTCATTAAGGTATTAAACTAATTTTTATCATTATCTTAAAATTGTATCATGGTTTTTCCACATAAACTGAATTCTGTATTCTTTGCATTCTGAAAAAATGGAAAAAATGGAAAAATCGTCGCTTTGCGTTGAAAATAATGATGTTTGCTGTTTGTGAAGGTATCGGACACTCCACAAGAGATACCCTTCCTAAGCATCCTCCAGCACCTGCTTCGCATCGACCCGAAGGAGGCGGTCAGCGACATCGTGTGGGACGCGGCGGAAACCTTGGTGCACCGTGCGACGCTTCTCGAAAACCGCCAAGACGCCAGCCGCCTTCTGCGCTCGCCGAGCCTGCAGGTAAGCTATAGTTTCTTCTCGAGAGAAGGGGGGAAAGCCCTCCTCACATATTTATAGGACATCCATAATGACGCAACAGTGTGTAAAACGCTCCCAAAAGTAATAATTGTTGATAGTAATTAGTGTTTGTGGCCTGTAGCATTTCAGACCATCGAACGAAGCTAACACGAAAGTTTCATCGATATGGGTTCAGCACTTTCAGAGATTAGCGCATTCACTTTTCTACCTTTATTAATGAGTACAGATTTTTCGAGCATAATTAATTCTGCAACTCGTGACCTCAAAAAAATGGGTATTGTGCCTTTGAAATAGGTTCACTCTTACCCATTAAACCTTCCAGTCCAAAATTGCCTTCGACAATCACAGATTCGAGTGATGTGTATGTAAATTAGTTTTTCTTCTGGTCTTGTTTGAGCTAGTCTTGGATTACCTGCATGAAAACACATGGGTATGGCCAGTTTTCAACAACCTAGATGATAAACAGATTGGGGTTCCCTTAGATGATAAACAGATTCCTTTAGTAATTAAACAAAAAGTTACTAAAATTTGACAAACTATAAATATTTAGCATAATATAATTATTTAATATTTTTTTTGTTTTTAATGTTTCATAATTTTCACTAATAATTATTATTCCGGTATTCAAATATTTTAAGATCTGAATTAAATAAAGAAATTGAACTAGTAAAATAAATAAAAAAGCTTTTTGATATTTATAAACCAAAGAAATTAAATTTCTCTGGAGCTTCCATTATTATTATTATTATTATTATTATTATTATTATTATTATTATTATTATTATTATTATTATTATTATTATTGTTGTTGTTGTTGTTGTTGTTGTTATCATCATCATCATCATCATCATCATCATCATCATCATCATCTGAGACCCCCTCTGAGGCGTGGCTCCTAGGCAGCTGTCTAGTTTGCCTTCGTGGAAATCCGCCCTTGCACATTGGGAAATTAAATTCGTCTCTGCCCATCCTTACCACGAAGTGGGAGTTCCCAGAAGAGGCGAATCCCCCAAAATGTAATAGTTTAAATATATTTTGTGGATTGAAGTGGAACTTTACGCGTGGCTTTGACCCGGGATGCCAGAAGTTTCGTACAAAAGTCTCCGTTAGATGGTTGTAAACACGCTCAGTTTCGTAATTGCAATTTAATTTTTATTTTTGCAAGCGGGAAATTTGAATTTGCATTAAAAATAGTATTTATTTGGAGGATTTTTGAGATAGTAACCACACGAAATGTTTTTTTTGTGGACTTTTAATTAATAATTTATGCTTTAATTAATTAATTAATAAAACATGCTTTTTGAAATAATAAGTTATATCTTAATATTTAAAAATTAGTTATGACTATTGTTATGACTATAGCAGATGTGAGGGGATAAAATAATTCTTTTCAAGTGAAATCATTTCATCTATCACATTGTCATATCACATTGAAATCGTTTTTGGATGGTTGTAGATAAAATTAAACACATGATTCATTGTTAGGGTCCACTTCCGCAAGTATGCTGTCAACTTCCTCAAGATTTTCGTCGCTAACCTCTTCCCAGTCCTGTGATTCTGGTTCCAATTCTGGTGTTCGCAAATACACCTGCTTGGTAAAATGCAGAAATATGCGTTTTATTGGTTTGGAACCAGTGCATGCATAGGCATGCGCAGTTCAGAACAGGGGGAGGTTTCTGGTGCTCTTAACCATTTAACGTGTTTAAATCTACCTATGACATTTTAATTGTACAAATAGTTTTCAGTATTTTCGTGATTTTTTAATTTTTTTTATTCAACTTGGCTACAATTTTTAGGTAGTTTAGCATTTTTTTGACTTTTAAAATATTTTTTGATGAATTTTGGATTTTTGACGCATTTTTATGTAGAGTCTAAAGTCTGGATGGGCTACTTTTCAAGAGTTGATTCGAATGTTTCTTCACACTTTTGTCCAAATTTTGTGAAATGTTGATTTTTCTAAATAAAATGACGAACGATTTCAAATTCTATATCTGTCATAGATTTATATTTAGAGTCCACTACACAATAGGAAACAAAACTTACTTAAATAGATATGGTAACAATGTACAAAAGAACTAAAAATTTGTTTGCCATTGCTGTAAAGTTTGAAATGTATCATGTGTTAATCAGGGATGAAACATTTACAGAAAGAAAATATTTTATTATGTAAAGCTAGGGGAGTCTTTTCAAAGTTCAGTGAAGCCACAACCCCTCTGTTGGCATGCCTATATTTAGATGTGTAATAATGCCTTAATATTAAATAAGTGAAAGTGCAATTGGTCTCCTCTTTGTGAAATTCTCTTTCTTTTTATTTGTGAAGTTTGGTTGGGTATGACAGCCTTGAAAAGTACAGCAAGTAATAAGGTACATGTAATAATATAGGTGACAATAGCACACATTGAATTTTTTATTTTGATATTTGCTTTTATATTTTGTTTTAAATAAAATTTGTCAATCTCGTGAGCACCTTGAAAGTGCTTAATATTTACAGGTATCCTGTATCTTAAATATCATACTCTAAATAAAGGTTTAAGTGCTTAACTTTTATAAATCAAAAATAACAGTTCATAATAAATAAGATTAATACAGAAATGCTAATATTTTGTGAACATTTAATTAATAATTTATACCCAATTTGATGGCAACAGTAACATTAAACAAATAGACTACATTTATTGTGTATAAATTCAAAGAGAACATTGAAAACCACCAGTGAAATATGTAATAGCTTTTCTTGCTGTCCTTTTATCTATCAGTAACAGTATCTCTTTCTGCAGGCAAAGCTGTGCTGCCATTGTGCATGCCATCAACATCGAAGTGGCACTTCAGGCCAGGATCCAGGCTCACGAAAGCAATCCCTTAGCGTCACCCCAGCTACCTCTCCACCACCTCCACCACCACCCCCTCCACCACCAGCTCCGGGGCCTCCGCCGCCCCCTCCACCTCCACCACTGGGGCCTACAAAGCTCAATAACATTGGCGCCCCCCTTCCCAGTATGGGGGGACCACCCATGCCACCTCCTCTCTTGCCACCACCAGACATTCCACGTGCCTGCACCCCTGAGCCACCAGATGTGACAGGCAAGCTACTCCCTCAACAAGAGACTCCAACCCCAAAGGCCAAAATGAAAACTATCAACTGGAATAAGATCCCTAATCACAAGGTCAGTTTTACTGTAGTAAATAAGTTAAATTCTCATTCAGGTACATTGTATTGAAACATAAGAACATACAAAACAAAGCAAACCATAGTTTAAAAGAATATTAAAAGTATTATTGTACATTCTGTCCATTTCAAATTATCTTGTATCAATTTATATTGGATAAGAAAGTCAGAGTCAACACAATCACTGTCATTATTTTCCAAGGAAAAAATGGGATGCAATGTAAGACGCAGTACTAACCATCTCTTTTTTGACAGGTTGTAGGGAAGCACAACATTTGGTCTCTAGTGGCACGTAGCCACCAGCACTCACCAATGGCTGACCTAGATTGGGCTGAAATGGAAGGTTTGTTTTGCCAACAAGCTCCTCCCGCACCTTCAGCCCAGTCATCACCTCGATTAGGAAGAGATCCACAAGACCCAGATAGAAGGCGAAAAGAATCATCTGAGGTAGTCAAATATACATTAAAATATACTTGGTTTTACATTCAATATTCCAGCTGAACATTAAAGAGACATTGCATGCCAAATCACACAAATTAAAGGAAACTTTGATTGTGATGTTCCAGATTTTTTCATTTCTTTTAATGAAGAGTATAGTAAAAATATGAAACACACATTTTTCATTTTTTCTCAAAGATTTTTTTTGAGAAAAAATTAATTTTCAAAGTTTAAAAAAAATGCTTCCATTATTGAAGTTATTGGTTTGTAACTCGTTTGTAATTGTGACAGAAATTAAATATTTTGGGACTTTAAAAAAACAAAAGATGCTCGTTAATTTGAAGCATTTAGTTTTTATAATGCTTTTATTTTTATTATTATTATTCCCCCCCCCCCTTGACCTAACAAAACAAAACATATTCTGTGATCGGTGCTACATAAATCTGGTTAGTTCAGAGTGGGACTCTAGGAGCATTCTGAGAAATGATGTTCCAAGGAAATTTCTACCTGCTGATGTGCTGCTCCTTTTTGTGTAGTAGTACAAGAGTATGATATTAGGGCAGTTAATTTCATTTTTTTCTTCCTTTTATTCTAGAAATTAATTAACTAGTGGTTGTATATTTTCTAAGTTTGATCCGTCAATATTTACTGAATATTTGTAGATAATCTGTTCTGACATTTCTGATTCAAATAATCATTTATTTGACTACAATAAAGCAAGATTTAGAAAAACTTTGTATACAGAAGTATATCTATTGAGATTTGAAATTAATTCTTAGGATTAGAGGTACTTTACATGAAGCCCCTGAGACATTTTGGAAATTTTCCCAAAAATTGCTCTAAATTTTTTCTTTAAATTTCTTGCTAGAAAAGAGTGAAATACACATAGGAACAGTGTAGTATGATTTTCACTATTCTAATATTTTGAAAATACCAAACGTTTAAATTTTTTGGACCGGGGACTTTTTCAAATGAAATTTGTTAATTAATGTCATGTACATTTTTTTAGATTATTAATAATTTTAGTTTAATGTTGGGTGAAATATCATCAGTATTAAAAAATATTGTAAAATATCAGTGAATTACAATATTAAAACTATTCTTAATAAAAATAAAAGATTTTCTGATCTTTGATTGAGTGAAGATAATATTAATACTATTTTTAATATATGTTTTTTGAATTGCAGATTGCTTTGTTGGATGGTAAACGCAGTCTCAATGTCAACATATTTTTAAAGCAATTCAGAAGGTAAATTAATTGATATCAGCATATAATTTCAATATTCAGTGCTCTGAAAATAAATATCACATCCAACGTTACTAGCTTAAGATTATTAAATAAACATATCTGCATTGTTTCTAGTTGCAATGAAGATATCATACAACTAATTCGCAATGGAGAACATGATGATATAGGGGCAGAGAAATTGCGGGGTTTATTGAAAATTTTGCCAGAAGTAGATGAATTAGAAATGCTCCGATCATTTGATGGTGATAAAGCTAAATTGGGAAATGCAGAGAAGTTTCTTCTACAATTAATAGAAGTTCCAAAGTAAGTCATGGTTTGAAAAAAATTGATGATTGATGTAACATGCCAGAACTTGAATAATAATAAAAACAACTTTTCTTGTTATCAGCTACAAATTGAGAATTGAGAGTATGCTGTTAAAAGAAGAATTTGCAGCAAACATGGGGTATTTGGAGCCAAGTATTAATGCTATGATTGTAGCTGGAGAAGGTAAAATGATTGAAATGATCATCTATGACTGCAATTAAGCAATTAGCAACATAAATGTTTTTCTTTTTTGGAGTTTATTTTTAAAGGAATTGTTTCTATAAAAACACTGTACATTTTATCAGATATGTGAAATCTTAAAATTATTTATTAAATAAACAAAAAAGGAAAATATTTGCAAAAATGTGATTTCTGCAAAAAAAATCCCCATTTACAGTCATTGAGTTTTAAAAATAAGTAGGTATAATTTAGCCTGTTAAATAAAATAAAATTATTTTTTCTAATTGCAGATGTAATGAGCAACAAATCTCTACAAGAAGTATTGTACATGGTTATTGTCGCTGGCAACTTCTTGAATTCTGTAAGCCTCATTTTCAAAACATGAGTGAAATTTCTGATGTAAATGTAAAACTACTTACATAATATAACATTGCTAGTTTTTATATATTTAATTACTTGCAGGGTGGATATGCTGGAAATGCTGCTGGTGTCAAGCTCAGTTCTCTTCAGAAGTTAACTGATATTCGAGCTAACAAACCGGGAATGAATTTAATTCATTATGTTGCCATGGTATTATAAATTATCTTTATAATATATATTCTTCCATATTAAGAATACAAATAGGAATCAAATTCATACTGATACTTATATATTTTCAGCAAGCTGAAAAGAAGAGAAAAGATTTATTGAAATTTCCAGAAGAAATGACAGTCCTTGAAGAATCAACAAAGTATGAATTGGGATGTTTATACTAGTTTTGTTTACCTTTTAATTAAATTTTTAACTTATGTAAATTACATCTGGTGACTTGTTAATGAGATATATTAAATATATACTTTTATTTAGGACTACTGTAGAGCAGCTCCAAAATGAAATTAATGCTCTAGACTCAAGAATTAAAAAGGTTCGAAAGCAAATTGATCTCCCTTCTACCGAAAAGGAAATAAAATCTCAAATGGGAGAATTTCTACAGGTAATTTCACTTTTGAATCACAAAATATTAAAAATATGTTGTTAAATATTTCACTTCTACAATTACCATTTAAAGAGTTCAAAGTGCAAGTGCAGTCATTTGGACAAGATAAAGGCTCAAACTTTAAAAGAGGGTTCTATGAAACTAGTGGGGCTAAAACAGCACATACTTTCTCGCCTCTTGGTAAAGGTTATGAAATTATATTATACCACATTTCTGTCTATATCAACACACTCAGTCGATGAGCACTGACAACAAAGCAATGGGTGCAGCCAACAATGGGCACATATTTTCTAATCATATATATGATTCTTTCTAAAAGCACCATTTTTGCCATAAATGAAAGGTAGTTATTGGAAAACCTGTATAGATTTCATTAACTTCAAGCAGAAATTACACAAAACTACATGATTTGTTCGAAAAATTGTGCGTGATGTTTTTTGAAGAGCTAGCTTTGTTCAACAGACTTTGTCTGAGGCTAAAATATCTATTTTCAATTTTGTGGTTTTGAAAAAAATGTTCACAATTTTCGGAAAAAAAAAAACAGCAATACTCGAAAATGAGGCTAGTGCCATATTTCTTACCATTCCTTATTACTTATGTGCAGAAAATTTAAAGAAAAAAATTGGACCATGTTTTGAAACTTGTTGTAAATTTCAATTGCAAAATCCAGAATTTTTTTTTTTTTTTTTTGCCTTTCAAAAAATTGTTCATGACCTTTTTTGAAGACATAATTTTGTACAACAAGCTTTGTTTGAGACAAAATATCTTCAATTTGAAGTTCAACTTTTTGTTTCTAATTTTCAAACAATCAGCAATGTCAACGAAAATTATAACTGCGCCATTCTTTTAAACATCTTATGCACATAAAGCATCTTATGCATTATTCAAAAACAAAATTTAATCAACAAATTTGGAGCCAGATTTTTTAAAATTTTGAAAATGTCCTAGAGGCTTCATGTGAAAATACCTCAAAATTAAAAAATCTGTTTCAAAGGCCAGGGTCTGCAACATCAGCTATAACGAAGGGAAATATCAATTTTGAAGAAAGTCGGCTGAACAGTTTTGCATTGTGCACTGATGGACAGTTTTGCTTATGTGAATGGCATACAATTAATTCAGTTGTATGCCATTCACAATGCAGTACCTTTCATTTGGCAGCTTTACCTTTCATTTTCAGATGGCTGAGCAGGAAGTTGCTGGCCTTCAGCGAGATATGGAGGAATTGGAAGCTGTAAGAAAACAACTGGCTGAATTCTTCTGTGAAGATGTAGGCACGTTTAAAGTTGAAGAATGTTTCCGTGTCTTACATGGGTTTTGTGCCAAGTTTCGACAAGCTGCAATGGAAAATGAACGTCGACGGGTTCAAGAAGAACAGGCAAACATGCGTCGTAGGCAACGAGAGGAACAACTTGCAGCTAAGAGAAGGCAGTGTAAGTCCTTTCAGCATAATTTGTTATCATTTAGTTTTACATTTTTCCAATGGATGTGTGTGTTTATATGATGGTGTTGATCTTTCATTCATTTCTTGCAGTGAGTGGGCAGATGGGCTTTAGTGGACCAGAATCTCCAGAATGTAACATTGTTGACTCACTTCTGTATGACATTCGTTCTGGATTTCCACAGAACAAACCTCTTGACAGAGAAACTAAGGTAAATTTAATCACAGTATATCTTTGAATGTGATAAATATTTGTACTTTTTAATATTAATCACCACAATGATTGAAATAAATTATACATCCTTTTCTTGTTACATATTACAGTCAACTCCAGTTATAGTGAACTCAGATAAAGTGACCCTTGGTTATAGTGAACTTAAGTCACTAGTCCCATTTCATTTGCATTACAAATAAGCACTCAAGCAAAAAAGGTTCACTATAGTGAACCTGAATCTCGGCTATAGTGAACATAGGAAGTACAATATTCTGGAAATTAATTCCCTTCTGGAAAAGAATATATTACCTCAATGCCACAAATTCCGACACAAGGGAGCTTGGAAAAAATATTGTTGGCCAAAGTGTTATCTAGGCTACCCGGGACAAGGTGGAAGATGAAATGATTATGATAGTGAGGGGTGAGAGGACAACACACACAAATAGGCAAACACAAATATACCCATACCAGAGGCAGGACATACCATTACGGTACAACTGTCTTAGCGATCACGACCGTCTGATTGGCAAATTGTATCATGTTGTTTTATTGTATTTCCCAATTTGTTTAATGTATCGCTGATCTGTCTCCTATGATATTGCCTACATAATTAAATTTGGGTACTATTATTTGTCAATTAATGACAATTTTGACACTTCTCCTTTTCGCCCCTTGATTTGACTGATTTTGTCTTGCTTATGAAAATTTTCAATGTTACATTTCAGTGCTATTTTATACAATTTATTTGCTGCAACTTGTAGGTCATCTTCTCATTCCACAGAAGAACTTTATCATTTGAATCAATCAAATGGATGTTTTGATCTTCTTTCTTTTACTGAGTATTCCTATTTCCTTTCCATTCCTTGATTGTATAGTTGGCATATATATTGAATGGCTTGGTGACGTGGTGCATCCCTCTCTTAACCCTCTTTCCTGTTGTGAAAGATTTTGATACATTTCCATAATTTGTTTTTACACTTATCCATGAGTCTATATAGAAACTTTGGATTCCTTTTGTTATTTATGAAAGAACCTTTTATTTATCCAGTATTTCACACATTTACTTTTTATTTACTCTGTCATAAGCCTTTTCAAAGTATGAACAGAAGGAAAGTTGGCAAATTCACTTGATTGTATCTGTCTAGGATTGTTTGTACTGTAAATATGGCATCTTTTCTGAATCCATATTGTTGCTCACTCAGGAATCTCTCTCTGTATGCATTGCAGTCTATTTCTTAATATGATGTCAAAGAGTTTTGATGCTATTGGTAGACGTGTTGCCTCTGTAGTTATGGCAGTCTGTTTTCGATCCTTCCTTGTACATATTTATTATCACTCTGCCATTGTTTTGGGGTTGAGTTTTCTTCCCAAACGTGGTTGAACAAGGCTATCATGATGGCCTTGAATTCTTAATCATTGGATCTTATTAGTTCCATGTCAATTCTGTCTACTCCTTCAGTTCATCTTAGCTTTTATTAGTAACCTTTTAAGCTCTTCATTTGATAACTGAGGAACTATTTCTGCTTCTTTGATTTTAGTGTTGTCCATCCCTGATTCTGTCATGTTATTCACATTCCATAATTTCTTATAGTGCTCTATCCACTTCTCCTCCGGAATGAGATCTGTGTAAATGTAAATGTCTCTTGAGTCAACTCTGAGCATTTTTATAAGTTTAAAAACCATTTTTAGGGACCTGTGATGTGTCTCTATGTGATTTTACACATTTCTATCAGTAATCTGTTTACAAGTATACACGTAATATCATATGTTGTAGATGAGAAGAATGCAGAATGGCAGCATGACCTCTGAAGAGGATGTGTCAACGACTGGTTCACCACTGGTCACTAGACGTCGAATGGGATCTTTCTCTGGTCCAACTGGTGACCAGGCTCCGGGAAAAGAAGACAATTGCTCCCCAGGTTGGTACTTGAATTTATAATCCTGACAGCTCAAATTACTGATAAAGAGATACCAAATAGATACATTAAATTAGCATTGATTCTTTCCAGAACGAGGAAGACTTCATTATCGAAGATCGCGAAAAGGTTAAAATTATATGTTGGAATGATGTGTTATTGTGGCATTGTGTTGTTGTAATCCTAATAATAAATTAATATTAATTTTTGAAGTAATCATTTGTTTTTTTTTAAACTGTACTAAATTTAACATCTCATTTTAGTCAACTAATAAGTAACTTTAAAATATAAAATAAAAATTATCTTCATTATACAAAATTCATTATAATTCAATTCAAGATGAGTTGCTTGAAATCAATGTCTGGAGACAACTGATTGACTTATTATTCAAACAAAAAATGATTCAATAAACAAACAAAACATATTTTACAAAAAATTATATCCTCAACAAAACTCAAAAATTCCTCTCATTACACAAATTACAGAAAACGTATACATCAAAACAAGTTTGCATGATATTTTAATTTTTCTCTTTCTTTTTTAAATGTTAGTTATTGGAACTCTTACTTGCAAAAAGAAGTGTAAATTAAACATTCAAAATGGTGTCTATCTGTGGATTACTTTTATTCATTTCTCCCCTTCATATACTTTTTTTTGGTTTTGCAGATGTAACACCAAATGGAAGTTTACGTCGCCGGCGAAGCCGTGTACCATCTGAAGATGATGATTCTAACTTGATGGACTTTCTGAGATCATCTGGTCATGACGGCACACGTGAACGTAAATCTTGGGGTAGTCTTGGTATGTAATAGAATTATTTTCCTGAATATGTCCTCTATGTCATATTGGTTTCTTAATACTAACTTTCAATCTTCCAATCATTTTCATGAAATAATATTTGATCAAGAATGAATCTCACAAAACAGTCATACTTTTGAACTTTTAGCAAAAGTTTCCAATATTTTTCATGTTTTGGTTTGTATTTAACGAATGTGTATTTTGAGGTTTGTTTGACGTCCACTTCAGGACACTAAGAAAAATAATCTTACTGAATCTTATAAAATTAAGTATCAGAGAAAATAGGAAGAAACAAAAGTATGATATTACTTAGTATGCTATAAAAATAATTTCATCATTTACACATCATGAGATCTCATGATGTTTCTTTGTTTGTTTCATCTTCAATAGGAAGTCAGGATTTTCTGGCATTTTTATTAAAAATGTATGTCATTTATTTCTTAAGTTAAAAATATATGGTTTGTTTAGTTTTAATTTACTTATAGGAATGTTTACATGCTAACCATACGAACCCCTTAGAATCCCATGGCCCAAAAGGCTGGGCCACTGCTGCTCGGCCAAGGCCCTTATTGGGCTGTAGAGCCAAAGGACAGGACAGCATGATTTAAGAAAAATGAGAAATTGAGAAATGAAGAAAGCAAAGTTTACACAAATTTCTGATATATTTTATTTCTTTATTCCCAAATAACAGATCGATCATGGGCAAGACGAGCTCGAGGAAGTGGGAGAAAAAGACCAGAATTATTGAGTGCAGATTTCTCAGGGGAGAGAGAACGACCAAGTTCACCTTCTCCTTTAGCTGAAAGCAAGCCTTTGTTACCTGCAGGGGATCAAGAAAGTAAACCAAAGTAAGAAATAATGATAACCTTACACATATTTTCAAAGAAAATTTTGATATGAAAATTCTGCAAATTTGATATATTTTAATTGTTGTGAACCCATTGCTGTTAAGATTTTCATGATGACTTATCAATATAACTTCATTGACACATATTTTTCATTTATAGTATTCTGGGGTGTTTATAATTTTAAGAGAGTCCCTTAAAACTTTTTTTAAATGTAGTTCTGAATAACAAAACAATGTAGTATCAAGCAATGAGGCATATTCATAAGAAATGTACCATTCATTAACAATGATATTTTGTAGTTGCAATGCAAAATAACCCCTTGAGCCTTGATGCAGATCTAACACAGAATAATTTGTGACAGGGCTTGGCGTCAGAAGATTGAAGCATGGTTACAGGAAAACGAAAAGGAAGAAAAACAGAGTGAAGAACTGAGGAGGCGTTCTCGGAGAGTCCAGAGCAATAGGCGTTCGCTCGAAGCAGATTCAGGTGTGTGATTTCTCTAATATAGTAATTTTTGTCTTATTCATGATCTTAAAATTAGTGAAATCTAAAATATTTAGATAACAAACTTTGAAAATAAAAATCCACAACCACCACCTCCTAATTATAACCTTTCATAGACGTGAATATTTTGAATTGATATGCATGTATTCTAAAAAAACATTTGAAAGCAATAAGCTCCAACATTTTTCCACATTGTACAGATAATTTCAGAATGTTTAACTGAGAAATGAAACTTAATAAAAGAAACACAGATTGTCAATGTGTTTCTTGGAAATACAATGTACTTCAGAGTTTTCATAATGTATATATTTCACTGACATTTTCAAAGGATGTACAATAAGGGAATAATTACAAAAGTTGTATAAAACGTGAAAATTCTTATGATATAGTGCTGTTATATTTGTTTATCAACAGAGAGTGAAGGTCGTGGGAGTACGCTGGACACTCTGCCAGAAGAGAAATCTACCCAAGTGCAACCAAATACCTACAAAAGGGTGTATCCAGATTGGCGCCCAACTATTGAGAAAACAGATGTTGTTGGTGCAATGGAAGCTATTGAAGGTAAATAGTGAATTATACAAATTATCAATGGTTGATTGACATTTCTTCTTATCTGATTCATTAAATGTAGACTGCCCACATTGAAGATCAGTATCTTTTTGAGTCAAGACAGTTCTATCTGAATAACATCTGAAACATTTCTCTTCAAATCAAAAAAGATTAAGATGTGACTGTATGTGTGTATATATGTATTACAAACTAGGAATAATTCATTTAACAAAACTCATGATTTAATTATTCATTGCAAACAATTTCAATTGAAGGATTGTTGCAACCAGTCCAAGTATAAGAAATTGTCATTAACATTAAATGTGCATTTATAAGACGTGGAAAATATATGATTCATAATTTTTTCCTTTCTAATAGTAAGAAGTTTAAAGCTTTTCTTAAAAGGTTGTGAGGAAAAAAGGTTTCAAGAAGAAGATCATAGAGATCATTATTAATGTGGCTCCCTTAGATTAAAATTAAATCATATTTACCAAGATTGTCTTTTAATTTTTAAAATAAAAAATATTTGTTCCTGAGTCTTGTTTAATTATTTCTAATTAGTGCCAATTCAGACTTGAGTTTTTTGTTTTCTTTGAACAGAGGTACAGCCTCAAACTCCTGTAAAAGACAAATCACCCTGGAGAAAATCAAATTTGAATGTCGCCAACAGCCCAGAGGAAGCAGAAATGGACAATCGAAGATTAAGAAGAATGAGATCAAGAGGCAGTATTGACCTTGCAGGTCCAGCCAACCCACTTCAGGTATTTAATTACACATATATTATTGCAAATTTGTCTAAAAAACTCTATGAGAACTTGCTTTTCTTAATTAAAATCTTTGAATTGATACAGGCTATCAAAGAAGAAGACAAAAGAAAAAATATAATTGAAACTTTAGGACAAATACCAGCTGCTGATCGTTTAACACTCTACTTAAGACGACCAAGTGATGTGGGTGAAGGTGCTGAGGTAACTGCACCAACCATGCCACCAGAATCACCGACATCAACAAGTGTTTCTTCACCTGCTCCGCCAGCTCGTAAACTTGGAACTGCAACGGATTTAACAGAAAGTGGTACCAATAGTACACCTAGTAGTCCATTATTGTCTCGATCACAGCTCATTCAAAAATATCGCCATTCCATGGATGTACCTGATGACTTTCTCAAAAAAATAGTGGGAGAGAAGCCAGCCTCTCAAAAACCTGAAGAAGAACAGCCACCTCCTTCAGTGCCACGCCGCCTTCGTCGTGCTCGAGAGGAACCAACCTCCTGTGATAGAATAGAGATTGATTCTGACAATGTAGAAACTCCTCCAGTTACTCGGAAACATATTTATGCAAGAGAATCCTCAGAAGACAGTAACAGAAAAACTTACATCAGTGACACACCTAAAAGTAGCAGACATACACGCCATGTAGTTCTTAGTCCAGACACACCTTGCAAAAGAATTCTTGATGAAGAAAAGCGTACTGAACGATATAATGAAGCAAAACTTGGTAGAAATGTAGATACAGTAACAAGCAGAGGTCATGATAATAATTCAGAGAAAAGAACAGGTGATGATGAAGAGATCCTTGGTGATGGGCAGTTCGATCGCTTTTCATCAGCTCGAAGAACAAGACGTTACAAGAAAAATCATGAAGTGGTTGATAAGGATCATAATGGTGGAGATGAGCAACCTACAGTTAGAATGACCGACAGTCCTTGTCCTGAATTAGTACCTGAAAAGCAGGTTATTAGACCTCATGTTTTACAAGCAGAGTCACAACCTGTAAATCCCAATGCTGAAAAATCAGAAGATAAAGAAGCAAGATTGAAAAAGTGGCAAGATCGTCTTAAATACAGAGGCAGAGGAGAAGAGGATGAAGGAAGAGTTACTGAAGAAGCAATAGCTCACATCACGAGTGCTGGAGAAGAATTACAGAATCTTGACAAAAGTATCAGCAAACATAAACTTCGTTCAGATGGCAATAATGAACTTGTGAGCATCCCAGACGAAGTGCCTAAACCAAGAAGCAGGTTGAGTTCAGCGGCGCATCGTGACCGTGTGAAAAGTATGATCGAGCCAAGACAAGTGGAAGAAGCTTTAAAATTGAACAAAAATTCTTCCAAATATTCAGATAACAGAGGTGCAAACATTAGAAGAAGTTTAATTTTGAAATCTGGTCATGAAGGTGAAAAAATGGCATCTCATTTACCAGTTAGAAGTACAGTTTTGTATAATCAAGATGGTGAGAAAGAGGGTGAAGCAACCAAAGCTCCAAATAAAAGTGATTTTATACCTGAAATTCGTATTCAAGCATCTACCCCAATTAATATAAAATCTGCTAATGCACGTCATGAACATGAATTGAATGATGAAGGTTTTGAGGAGACACAGAGTCTTGTATCTGAGACTTTAAGTCAAGGCACTTCCTCTGGTTGTAACTATGAAATTGATATTGTTGATTCACCACAAGGAAAGTCAGGTGAGTACAAATCAGGTTCCAAACGAGCTTCGACCAGTTTAGTTCGAGCTGACAGTAGTGGGAGCGGTGATACAAGTAGCAGTACTAATATACCACAAGTGTCATCTACTGTATCAAAATCCACATCTCATCGTTCATCTCTTCTTTCAAAGCCAATTGTGAGGAATGGCAGCCTGAAATATGAATCTGAATCTGCTTCTAAACTGAGAGGAAAGAAAGTAGGAAGTGATATAAATACTAGTGTCATTGAGCAAAGAAAAAGTAGAGTAAGCAGTCAGGAGCCACATAGAAGTATAATACCCTTGCGATCAGCTAGCCTCAGGAAGACAATTTCACAAACTAGTATTAATAAATCTGGTGGTTCATCTCCTCAAAAGAAGCGAGGTGTAGAAAGATCAAATTCTAGGAACAGTCTTCGTAGTTCCAGAAGTTCTCTCAATAGTGCAGCTTCTGTTAACACTGTAAAGAATGCCCCTCCACTTTCCAAATCTTCAAGCCGATCTAGTGTAGGTGGATCATCTCGAGCAAGTAGTAAATTAACAGGATATACAACAGCTATTAAAGCATTAACTACTAACCTAGGTAAAGAATCAGGAGAACCAAAGCCATCAAAATATAGATATCAGGGAAGCTCTGACAGAAGTATTTCCAAAAAACCTTTAGCACCAGTACAACTTAAAACATCCACTTCTGGTCAACGTTCAGTGCCAGCCAGTCGTAGCTCTAGTAGTGGCAGCAGTATTGGACCAACTATTCGTAGACCACGAGTTACAACTGGAGTTAGCACCAGCTTTAAAGAAAATGCCAAATCTGCAGGTCATCAGGTTTCTGAATCATCTATACCAGCCAGTCGTAGTTCAAGCAGTGGAAGTAGTATAGGGAATATAGTGCGTAGGCCAAGAGCCTCCGTGACAGCAAATACTAGCTTTAAAGAAAATTCAACAGGCAGCATTAGTACAAGACAAAATTCCCAGCGAGGAATGAGCTTCATGAGACCAACTGCAGCTAGTGCAGCTAAAGACACTGTGACTACTAAAGAAGCAGGTGATGTAGCTAACAGCAAGCCTCGTGTCAGTACACGAACTGTAAAATAGATATGTGAAAAGGCTTTAACAATTAAAATTGGAAATAATTGAGGATATTATTGCCAAAATTGGGGGATATAATTTCCATTTGTCAAGGCAATATTCATCATCACTGTTAAGAGCAACTACATTAGTGCACGAGACAGAATTCTGTGTTAATCAGTGTGGTTTCTCACAGCATTTGCTTTGTTGATTGTTAGTGGACAATGCTGTAATAAAATATTGTATAAAGAGTTAGTTGAGATGAATGAATCTCATATTGTCATAGATATTTCATTTGAGAAGTGTTGACACTGATAAATGTTCCAATATAAGTTTTGTTGTATACATTTATATATTTGTGGGAAAAATTTGATGTCCTTATTGTAATATACACATAGGCATGCCTTAACGATAGTAACAGTCTCACATCTTACCAAAATGTAACTTTACTTAAAAAGCATAGAACTAAGTATTTTATTGGTGTAAATTGTAGGAATTACATCACACATTATTAATTTTAACAAATCTTAACAAATGTGATAGATATATGTAATTTTAATTTTTTTCCTGGCATATAAAATAAGACAGTAAGCCTTCCAATTAAACCTTTACCAAACATAAAATAAATATATAAAATTATTTCTCTAGTCAGTTTCTTCATGGGGAGATTGATTCACAATCAAAATATGTATATCTTATTTCTGGTTTTCATCCTGGCATATACAACTAGTAAATTATTACCAATATTATTGGTAGGCTTGCTGTTTTTTGTTGGCTAACATGACAATATTTTTTCTTATTCTCACAGAATGAGATCACAAATGCAAGAGTTTTTTTAAATGATGCAATGGCAGAAGAACTCATTCAATTTTTTATGTCAGTACAAATATTTAATTAAAATGTAACATTTTGAATCTCTTGAATTATGTTAAAATATTATACAGATTTTGAGAAGGTATTGTTTTCAAATTATTTATCATGAAAACATTGTTATTATGTTAAACTAATGTTATAAGAGCTGTGTCTAATCTCTAATCTGCCTTGAAAGATCTTTGTGATGCAGGTCATAATGATGTCTGTGAGAAAAAAAAAGGTTTCGCAATTATATAATTAAGTGAAATGAAAATGTGCAATATTGCAAGAATTCAGTGCCTTGTTGTGGAAGATAGTATGTACTCAAGAAAGGAATTTGTATTTTTGTATTTACTCTGTGAATAATAGGAACGACAAATATATAAAACATGAAATGTGCCCCAAATTATAATTTCTGAGCAACCATTTAATGAAAATATGAAACTGTTGGACCCTTTAACCCCTTTAACTTTTTTTCAAGTGTCCTTTGCATCTTAATTAACAAAAAATGGGAGCATATCTTATGATGATGAGAAATGTATTTGTTAAAATGATTCCTTAAAAATTAATGGCACAATCTAGTTAGTACCAAGCATTACATTTAATAATATTCTGTACACAAAACTTAGGCCTTCTAAAGATGAGATAAGTGTAAATAAGAACATAGTTTACAAACATGTCAAGACATTAAATAAATGATTAAATTGGTACATGATTTAAACCTGCGGCGGGAACGTGAAAAATCCTGACATTAGTGGCAACATTGGAGGTAATAGACCCGCTACTTTTTAGAGCCTATTTAAAGCACTAATTAATTACACAAATATTTTATTTTGAAGTAAAGTTGCAACTAAATCATAGATCCAATATACAGCACAAAATATATCACAAATTTTAAAAATTCTCAGACTAGAGAACAACAGACAGTGTAGCATTAAGTTAATGGCTGCAATATAAACAAAATATGTCTGCATGACTTAAACAAACATAATGGAAGCATTTTTTACAGTAATGTTTTATATAATGCTTTGTAATATATGATTTATTCAAGTATTTTTTACAATAATTTTTTTGACCATTTTCTTTTTCTTAACTTTTTGAAGAAAGTGTTTTGTGGCCTACTAAAATTTAAAATAATTAGAATTTCTTAACATATAATATTAGTTTTCTTAACCCTGAAATATCGACTTAATTTATGAAAATTAGACTGATATTAAATAAGTATATTACAAATATTATCAGGTTTAATTTCCTGATTCTCAGGTTCAGCTTCTTCAATTTCTTGTTCAGAATCTGAACAGTGCAAACTTTTTAATTCAAATAATTAAGCAGCAACTTCATCATCACTTGATAAACAACCATAACTTGACTAAAAGCTTGTTTATTATTTCTATATCTTTCGGATTTAATGCATTAAAATATCCCTTGGATGAGCTGGTCATGTTGTTAAAAAAGTCACATAAACGGGAACATTGGGTTTCATAGACCCATCAACAATTTTTAGCAGGAATAGAACACCATGTTTTTCTGACAAACTCAAACTAATGGCTGTCAGCTGTTCAGTAAGATTCAATTTAAAGGTAGACTGGTGGATAATTTCGTTCAATTGACAGACGGCTTCAAAGATTTCACTGGGTCTGACAGACCCAACAATTCTGGGTTAATAAGGTCATTATATCTAAATATATATTTATTTGAACATCATTTAATGGAAATGATGGGAATGAACAAATGAAACAATACATATTAATAGCGTACTTGACATTGATTATACCACAGCAAAGATCTCTGCTGACAGTTCACATAAGATGATAGCATCTAACAGCCAGATACTTCAAATTTTCCACATTTCTTCTTTTAGTCAACATGTTTAGAAAAACTGAAAATGATATTTCCACATCAACATACATCATTGGGGCATATTTTAACATGACTTTATGAGAAACAATAACATGTCTGATAAGAGTCATCATTACTTTTTTTGTGGAAGTCCTAATTATCAGCAATTACCTCCACTATCACAGTGATACTGACAGTGAATTTCTGAACATAAGTCATCACAGCCACTAATAATTTTCTATGGATGCTACAAAAACAAATAACAGATAAGCATTATTACTAGATATGCCAACTTTTTGTGTTTATCAGTCATTTTCACCTAATTAGTTTCAAAGAACTTCTAAACTTGAAACAAATAAAGATTTTTTTTAATTTTTCGATTCTATTGCATAATTATAATAAATGTAAATATGAGAACAAATCGGAGTTAATGTAAATATTAACAACTTGAGAAACAAATAAAAAAATTACATTTTTGTAGCTTTTTAAAAACAAAAAAATTAAGCAAATTGGTGTTTAAGTAATCTCTTAGAGTAAATTTAGCACTATCCCTTCCAAAATTTAGAGAAAATAATTTGGAGCCGTTTTTGAGAAAATATTGTTTTTGTAATTTTTAAAATTGCACATATTGCGCGAAAACTACTAAAATTTTCAAAAAAGTGTACAAGGCCTCAATGAAAGAACTCACTATGGAGAACAAATTTCATTTGAAGGAAAAATCTCTCTTTAATTTTGTAGTTGTAGGAAGTCGTCGTAAAAAAATTCACAGTTTTGAAATTTCGAAAATCGGACCTATGTCACTTATTCACTATGTCACTCTATTCTTATAACAAATTTAAAGAAAAAAATTGGAGCCGTTTTTGAGAAAATTTTGAAAATGTCCCAGGGGCTTCATGTATAGTAGCCCCAAATTTTAAAGAATGTTTTTCAAAATCTCAAAACTCGTGTCAGAAGGACAGGGGTTTCTTCAACTTGGAAAAATCCTACGTATTGTTTAGGTGCTAATGGTGAGAATAGACAGACGAACGGACGTTTTGCCGTGAATTGGAAAAGGTAATTGACCTTGACAGAAAAATTGATTAATTGTTTAGCGATTTAGGGCACGTCAACTACCAGGGCCATTAGTCCCGTAAGTGTAATGCGTGTTTTTTGTTCGGGAGGTGGCGGTCTTTCCCCCTCTGTATGGCAAGATCCGGTGCTGACCTATCGTCATCTAGCGGGGGTTTCCCCAACCAGGTGTCTCCCACCCGCGGTACTCGAACTACCTAATAAGCTTGTCGAAAATCCTGCCACTGTTGGGTCTCGAACCTAGGAACTCCCGGCCCGAGAGACTGCAGTGACTGCTGAGCCATCTCTCCCGGTGGATAAGAAGATCATGAGATCACCATTGTAAATATGTACATTCTCTTGATTCGTTGTTCTGTTCTTATAAAAAAATAGTTCTCGTAAGAGCTGTGATTGTCAGTTACTCATAATATATCAATCAATTTTATAATGTTTATCATTTGTTTTTTAATTTACTAAAATTTACTTAAATAGATCAATAGATCAAGAGATACACAGATAAAAGATAAATAAATAAATAAATAAATAAATAAATAAATAAATAAATAAATAAATAAATAAATAAAAATAAATAAAATAGCACTTTTGATAATTGCCTTGCATGGGTAAGGAGAATAAACGCGGTCATGTCGCTCGACTTCACGCATTCTGCAAGAATTCTACATAGCGCATGCTTTCATTTTTGTCCCCCGAAGGCATCATTCAATTCACTATGGTCGGCAATGAAAAATTATTTTCTACAATTAGACCAAAAAATATCTTCGAGCTCGTAATGTATTAGGCGCTAGTGGTGTTAACAGACCGACGCACGGACGTTTTGCTGTCAATTGGAAAAGAACAAGGTCAACTGGACCGGAAAATCATGCCCAATTTAATTATGTACATTCTCTTGATTTGATTCGTTGTTTTGTTCTTATAAACAAATCTGATCCCGTACGAGCTGTGATTTTATGTTATACGTAATATATTGCACATTCAACAAGAACACATGCACTAAACGTGGCCATTTCCAGAGTTCCATGGCAACAGAGAATTATGGCCGCAAGTACAGGTGGCCTCGAAAGGGAATTTTAAAAATACAGGTAGCGTATCTGGCTTTGTAATGAAGTTAGTGAATACGGTGCCTAATAAAGAAGTTAGAAGGCATTCCGCATTAAGGTATCATCAATTGTTCTGAATCTAGCTGTAGCGGTAGCGTTGTCATTTGGAATTTCTTGTTAATCCTGAAAATAAAGGGCATCAGTGAATAAATTCTGCTATAAGGGCAAATACTGCTCCTATTGATAAAACATAATGGAAATGTAAAATAACATCAATTGATGAATTGGCAAGAACGATACCTGTTAATCCTCCAATGATAATAAAAATACGAAGCCTAATGATCATAATAGTGAAGGGTTATAAGATAATTGAGATCCGTGAAGGGTGGCAAGTTATCTAATACGTAATATACTCGTATATTAGAGCAATCATGTCATGTTTTGCTTGCATGTGTGCACTTAAACAATTGGTACAAGAATTGAACACCACTAGCGATCACACCACAGTGGACTTGCAGCAATAACACACCCTTACGAATCGTCGGAACATGGATGAAAAAGTATATGTTGTTATCTAAAACACAAATCAATCACCCCGAAATAAGAAACTCTTGAATTCACAAGAAATACTGATTCAATGCGAATGTCTCGTGTAAACAAATAGTCGCTAATGCATTAACGACTTGCTAGTAAATTGTACTGCTAACCAATGTCAAGAAGACTGTATTGCCACAGTCTTCTTGACATTGGTTTTTCGTTGTTTCAAGGCAATATTTGACGGGCACTACAAATTTACTATTATGTACCGTGTAGCAAACCAATAATATCATATTCCAGAAACGAGGAGAATAAAATTGAAAATGAATGAAGGATTGCAATTGAATAATTGTTTGTCTATCGGAAACTTTTTCGTTTATACTCTTGTGAGGTATTTTTTCTTGTAAGTGGCGAACACTGTCGGAAGAAGAACTTATCAAGTGGTTGGATTTTTTCTGCAGTTGAAGGAGGTATCTGAAGCAATTCAATTTTCTTGCCTGGAGGAATATCTTCAATACGAGTTTTGTCATTGAACGTGGTCTATTAATCAAATGGCAGAGCAATATTTTCGTTTACAAATGGGAAGAACGCTTCTTTAAACCACTTTCAACTTTTTCGTAATTTTGTAGCAGTAACAAATAGGTTTTCGTCTTGAAACATTCTTTTGGAGACTACTGGACTGAAAAATTATTTTGGTTCTTGCAGCACTATAAATAATTGAGGCAACAAAGATCCACTCATATTTATTGTTGTCATTACACTGGACACTGGAGTAATAAAGCACTAACTGATTGAGCAACTGACTGGATGTGTTTTTCACAAATAATGTCCGTTTTGCTCGCATTTCTCGTTCAAATCCACTTTGGTCTATACTGTTCACAGAAGACGTAAGTAATGTGAAAATCTCTCCTTGGCATTTTCGAAAAATTCTTCTGCAACCACATTATATTCTGCCCCATCGTGTGCACGAATGCGCGATACAAATGTTGTTATTTTCCTGCTCTTAATTTTATGTGCTTTTTTTAAACAATTGATCCAGGTGTGAAAAGTGGAAAAGTTTTAATTTTCGATGTCAGTTCCTAGTGAAATTTCAGAGTCCACTGTCTTCATCTTTCTCATTTTGATTTGTTCTTCTTGCAAGTTCAAATCGAGACCAAAGCTTTTCATAAATATAGTCGTCGCTCTGACGTCACACGGCGAAACTTTCTACGGACATGTGATATTGAATATCTTTTCTTACCGCCCTCATTCAACCAGATTTCCACAGC